TCACTGCCATGAACCCTTTCTCCTCCTCATGCAAAGGGGCTCTGAATACTAGTTGAGATTAAGTTCATTTGCTAAGCAAGTGTGCGAAGCGCTGAAATAGGCACTGGGGCAGATTCAAAGTTTATATGAGAAAAAGTCAACACCTGCCCTCCTGGAGCTTACATTTTAATAAGGGGATATGAAATACGCAGAATAACTATAACATGGTATACATATACATATATATATACACATACATACACTACATACATATATGTAGTAAGTACATAAGATACTTTATGTGAAATACAAGGGGGTAAGGGAGAGAACGGTAGAGGGGGAGCTAATACTGATTGAGAGGAATCAGAAAACTTCCTGAAAGAGGAAGAATCTGAACTCAGTTTGAAAGGATAGTAGGTTAGCCAGTAGATGCATTCTTTGACCACTGCATTCCATGGAGCAAAGAAAAATTTTAAATGGCACTTCATCTCATGCTTCCCCCTTGGACTTCCCCGGTAACAGTGGTGGAGTGGCCAGAATCGGGGCAGAGTACTAAGAAACCCATGGATTTTAGATGACCTATGAAGATTAACTTAATTGTAGACAGCATAACATGGTAGATAGGGTATTAGACTTGAAATTAGGTAGACCTGGGTTCAAATCCTGCTTCATCCTCTTATTGGCATTGTGACCCTGAGGAACTCACTTAAACTCTCTGTGTCTCAGTTTTCTTCTTTGTAAAATGAAAGGGCTAAGGCAGGGAGACTCTAAGGTCTCTCTACATTTGTGACACCATCTTCTGTAAGAAGCCTTTCCTGATTCCCTCAAGTGCTAGGGCCCTCTCTCCCAAGCTACTTTGAATCATTTGCATGAACTTATTAATTTTATATTTTTGCTGTATATTTTTATATGTATTTGTTGTCTCCCCTATTAGAATGTAAGTTCTCTGTGAGTATAGATCCTTTCGTGTGTGTGTGTGTGTGTGTGTGTGTGTGTGTGTGTGTGTGTGTTTGTATTCCCAGCACCTACCACCAAGTGTGGCACAAAGGATGTGCTGGTAAACATTTAACATCCTGGTCTCCAGCAAAAACAACAACAACAACAACAACAACCCACATACATGCAGGATACACATTTAAGTTAAATCTGCATTATTAACATTTTCTCTGTGACTTAAATCTAGACAACAAACAAAGCAATAAATCAGGTCCTGATTTGTAGCATCTACTGATTTCCAAGGAATAAATGCTCACATTCAGCATTTAATAATCGGCTCAACTAGAACCAGTTCCAGCACACACCCTTCCTGGCCCATAGTAGGCACTTGTGTTTTGCTCAATGGCTTCTACCTATCCTTTGTAGCAGTCAAGGGGATCAGGAGAGGCACTGAAGTCTTAGATTGGTCGCCATTCATTTGATGAGCTCACAGGGCAGGGACATCTCCCAAGGAGCTGGTCTCGGAACAGTAGACCTCTAGCTGAGGGGCTTGCTGGGAGATCACAGAGATCTCCCTTGCTTAGTCCCCAGAAACTGACACTGGCTCCTCTGATTGGTTGATTTTTCTCACTTAAGACCAAAATAATGGAATGCATTCTTCTTGGACCTGCCTGGGAAGGGTCCCATTCAAATAAGCCTTTAGAGGGGCAGTGTGTCTTAGTAAATGTAGAGATGAGGAGATTGAGACTAGCGCCCCGAAACCCAAATTGTTTTCCAACTGAATGAAATCAGGTAAGGTTTTAACCTAGTTAGGACTTGGTTTTTCTTAGTAAGAAGTAGACCCCAAAAAATCACAGTGGGAGCCTTGTAAAAAATAGTCACAGGGATCCTCCAGGGCAATTCTTTCAATCTTTTCATCAATAGAGTTGGTGTATGTCATAAGTCTTATTTATAAGGAGGCTTCCGGGCAATTTCACACTGCCTTCCTCTGAGGTAGCCCCCAAAAAACATGTAAACCCCAGGGATTAGTAGAGACTTAGAGGGGAAAATAGTGTAAAGTTATACCATGAACTATGGCCCTACAGCTGCCTTGATGTATGCTGCTCCCCTGGGCTGAGCCCGTGAATGAGACTTATCCGAAAGAGGATCCCTGGCCCGCAACTCCTCAGCTGACACTCCAAGGCTCCGTCTCTGGGGGCCATCCCCAGCCCTTAATGGCCTGTGCAGTGAAAACTCACAAGAACTCTGCTCTCCAAGAATGAACAACTTAAATCTCATTTTATATGTCTTTGTTGACAGGAGCGTTCAGGGCTGGGTAGTAAACAAAATGTTTACTCGGCCGATGCTGGTTGGAAGTCTGTTCTGATACCTTTATTGACAGGCAGCCCTGGCCTGAACTGGAAATTAAATGGAGGCTTTTAAAGGCAGCAGCTGAGACTAGGGCTGACTGGATTGTGCTCTCTGTGTACACATTATCAGGCTAGCTGGCTTAAATGGATGATTTCATCAAACCCGTGATTCATCCGTGTGAATCAAGAGAAGAAGCTTCTGCCAGTAAGGTGGAAAGAGCCTTGGATTTGGGGAGAGAGCACCTGGGCTGCCTCAATCACTGCTTGTGAGGCTTGGGCCAAATCGCTTCTCTTTGTACCTCAGTTTCCTTTTATGAAAAATGAAAAGTTTGGGCTGGATGGCCTCTAAGTTCTCTTTCAGTTCCGAACCTAGGATCAGATGACATTTGGAGTTTTGTGTTCAGTTCTGGGTGCCACATTTCAGGAAGGACATTGTTAACCTGTCCAGCTGCATCTCCAGAGAAGTTCAGAAGCTTTACGGTACAGGGAGGGAGAGCGCTAACTCTGGAGTCCGAGGACGTGGGATCAAAACCTATCTCTAATGCTTTACACCGGTATGCCTTCGAACGTGTCATTCAGGGCTTAGTTTCACCACCAGCAAATTAGAGAGTTGGACTGTGTGGCCTTTCTCCTCCATTCATCACATACTCTTTTTTTTTTTTCACTCTGCCCTCTGAGAATCTTCTCTTTCTTTCAAAGCTCAGCTGAGCTACTCTCTGCATTCCAGAAAGCCTTTCCTATTCCCCCTAGCTGTCCATTCTCCCCTTAGAGTCCTTCATAGGAGCCCAAAGCCTTTTCCTCTGCGTGCAGTAAAGTCTACTTGCCTTTATTTATAATATTTATGTTGTCTCTATAAACAATGTTAAGCATCAGCATTTGCTAGATGAATTGTTCTTATTGGTAATACAGCTGGGAGGCAGCAGTAAAGGGGGTCATCCTTCCCTGAGAAGAGACGGACATACAACTACTACTGAACTGTTTTTCCCATCTCCGGCGGGGGGCTCAGAGCTGAAAAATAGAGCAAGAATTGGTATAACCTACCACAGCAAAGAAAGAATGTTTGTATTGAGAAATCATACGGACAGTGAGTCAGTAATAGGGCAAGGGAGGAGCAAAAAAGGAGTGGTTGAACAACCCTGCAGATAAACAAATAAACCCATCACTGCTACAACTGATTCAATTTTGTCTTTGCATGCCAGGCCCCTAGAATAGTGCTTGGTACTTTTTTTTTTTTAAAGTGGACCTTGGATTTTATCAGTGTAGAGAACTCCCATTGAGAAACTTCCTCCGCCAATGCAAATCTGCACCTTCTCGGCAATTTATAATCTTCCAGCGTTGCCTGAGGAAATGTGAGGTTGAGTAACTTGACCGGAATCACAGCCAGCCTGTAGCACCAGCAGAACTTCCACCCCAGTCTTCCTGACTTGGAGGCCAGATCTCCAACCGCTACCCCAAGCTGCCTGGTACATATGAGGTTTCTTACCAAATGCTGATTCAATGCCAACTGTGTGAAGGTAAAAACAAAGAATCCGTGCAAGAAAATGAAAGTCAGAAATCCCCTTGTTATCATCAGCATTTTCTCAATTGTTTAATATCTGCCACATGCTGATCTATTGCTCAAGACTCAAATTAAATGTATGTGCTTTTATCTTAATTTATCCTATGACTTATAAGCAGTTTAACATAATGTTTTTAATTGCTTCAGAGATCCTTTTGGAGTGTGTTAAAAAAAAAACTATTCTCTAAATGTTCAGAATCTCTAAACACATCGTGCATTCAACATAAACAGCATAGATAGAATCACAAGAACTCCAAGCATTTCCTCATCCTCGCTAATTTTCCTTGGTAAAGGAGAGGGCTGACTGTGAGTTAAGAAGGGAATGAAGAAAGATGTGTGTGGGGGGGGGAAGATGTCAAGTGTTCTCCATCAAAAAATGCCAGCTGGTAACTTTTTTTTTCAACAAGTGTAGTTTAGGTTGAATTATTTACTCTACCACTCCATCCCTCCTCAGTGAAAGTATTGTGATGTAGGCTGGGAGTACAACAGAGATATATTGAAGAAGTACCCACCACTCCATGATCATCACCACCACTCCCATCACCCTACTTCCATCCCCACCCCCAACCTTCACCTCACTACCATCTCTATCACTATCTCCATCCCTATCCCCCACCTCCACCAACCGCATCACCATCTCCATTACCCTCACCACAACCCCAGTCACTCCCACCTCTAACCCAACTCTTTCATCCCCATCATCACATCACCCCCTCATCCATTCTCACTACCACCACCACCGCCGCCACCCCTCAAGCCAGGAAAAATTGACTATGAAGCCTAAACTGAAAGTCTGGGCAAAAGACTGACTTGGGGTTTTCAGATCAGCCAAGAAAGGATTAGTAACTGCTACTTACTGCACCTGGATTTCCCAAAGAAAGTGGGAGTTTTGGTTTAGTTTGATGTTTCAGTTCCAGAGAAAGTTTGAAAACTTTTGAGAGGGAGTGAGTGAGTGTGCATGTGTTTGGGGGGAAGGGAGGAAGTTGTGCAAAGAAGCAGATGCTTTTCATATCAGTTTCCAAATGGGTGTGTGTGGGGGGCGGGGGGGGGTGCCCCTGATGAGGTGTGAGTCCAATGATCTCACATACTCTTCCATCTTTCATTTGAAATTCCCATGCCAAAGAGAGACAGGAAACATGCATCGAATTGCGTGAGTAAGTAGTTAAAACCAAGCACGATGTGGGCATGAAATTACAGCCGATTTCCCATTTGCTGATATTATATCTATTTTTGAAATGACTTATCAGTTGGTTATTGTTGCTAATAATTACCATTAAAATTAATAATACATTTTTTGGAGTTGGGCAAAAAAAAATAAAGAAACTAACAAGTTTGCTTCTGTCACAGATCTTTGAAAAAGCAATCTGGGGAACTTGTTTCTGGAATGCAGCTGTGTAAGATTTCATTAACATCTTGCAGGTGGAGCCTAATTTTAGTTCAGCCTTGAGAAGGGGGAATTGTTTGCCTTCTGAGATGCTCAGCACCAAAACAGCAGTAAGGCAGGTGGAGTTGAGAGAAGCACTTGTTTACTTTCCTGTATCAAAAAAAAAAAAAAAAAAACACAGATGATTCATATCGTTAATCATACAGTTGCTATTTGATTTTAACATGTCTTTAACAGAAGAGTCTGGAGTACATTTGACCTACTGTTACTCAAATGTGAAACAAAAAGCCGAGAAATAGAAAATAATAAGCGAACAAGCGTGGAATCCTAAATAGAGTGGAGTAGGAACCAGTGAATGAAGGGGAAGGAGAATTTAGAAATACATCTGGGTTGGCTACAAAAGCATTTCAGAAAGTGGGTGCTCCAGCCCTCTCGTTTGTGTGTCTGAGGTTGGCACATGGAGTATTTTTTTTTAATCTAATGCCATTGAAAGGAGGAAACTATAAGGGGAGGGAAGTGGGAGTGTAGGAGGGAAGGAGGGGGTCACTCTAGACAATTGAAAACCAGGCTATTTTCTCTTCCTCGTTCCTCCCATTATTGAAATTGAAATTTCAGGGCTGTGAATTTCCCTGACTGACTACTAATCAACTTAGATTTTAGGCCTGCTGAAGGAAAAATAATAATCACTGAGTGATTAATGACCTATAATTTCTCTTTTAATTTGTTTAGGAAAGAGCTCAAACTGTACCTTAGGCTACAAAGACACACACTGGTGAACCTTGAAATGTAAAAGGAAATTTTGCCACCGTTTACATACCTATTAGAAGTACTTGTATAGGAGAGTGAAGGAGAAAGAGTACTCTTTTCTGTCCCCTGGCCTGAATAGTTCCATTGACTGTCTTGAGATTCTTTGACCCTGTGGGGTGTGTAAAACAATTATATCACCTCAACTGAGAGGGGAAAACTCCAAAGCATTGCTTCTTTTGAAAGCAACCTCTTGGAATGGATGGAATTCATGGCACAGAGGATTAGTTTCTTCTCTTTTTAGCCTTTAAAAGAGGTCTTGTTTTGATGGATGGCGGAGTGGGTGGGTGTGGGATCACAATTGGTACTCCATCTTTTCCCTGTATGTTCTCTATATAGATGCACTTCCCTATGGTATTCCTATAGTCTATACCAATTATAGAATAGTAGATTTAGACCAGACCTTAGAGAATAAAGGGTGATGAGGTGCATAGCATGATGAGGAGTCAACAAGATATGGGTTCAAATCCTACCTCTAACATTTAGCTTTGAAACCAAATCATTCGATCTGTTCAATACCATTTCCTCAGGTGGATCAGTGGATAGAGTAATAGACTTGGAATAAGGAAGACTTGGGTTCAGTCCTGTCCCAGATACTCAATTGTGGGACCTAGGCAAGTCTTTTAACCACTCTCTCAGCCTTAGCTCCCTCATCTGTATAATGGGAATAATGTCAGACTCCTACTTTACAAAGTGGTTCATGGAGACCAAATGAGACTATGTCTAAATGTTGAAGTTTAGGGGTGCAGAACACCAAAATCAGAACACGCGGGTCCTGCCCGAAAGAATTCGACTCAAGCCTTCTTCAGCTAAAGACAAGGTTTATTAGAACATCTGTCCTATTAGCCAGATTCTTAAGGAATCTGAGCATCTGTGAGCTATTGGCTAGATTCTAAGAATCTGAGCACCTTAATGGAGACAAGATGGACCTTATATACAGAAAGACTGTGGGAGGGATCTAGGAGTGGCCAAGTAGTTGGCTGGGACAGTGAAGTAATAGAATGCCAGCGACCTGAACTACATGGCCAAGGGAGAATGGAGCCCAGCTAGGATTAAGGGTGGGAAGTGGCTGGTGGTGACATAGGGAGGTAAGACAATGGAGGGCTAGGCTAGGTTAAGGGTAACAGAGAATTGGGAGATTGGGTGTAGCCACAAAGAAAGGCCAGTTGATGGGATCATAGCTTCAAGTGAACACCAGAGATTTGGCCGTGTGGGAAAATCCAGGGTTTTTCCTTTCTGGGGTCCAGATCCCAACCTCATCATAAAGTGCTATATAAATGCTAGCTGATATTATTATCTGTAATGTGGGTAGAGAAAAAGCATATTGTAGTGGAAAGCCAAGTATCTAAGTCAGGAAGACCTGGGATCAAGTCCCACTTCTGACACCCACTGGCCATGTGACCTTTTAGCACACAGCCTGGCACAAAGAAAGCACTTAACAGATGCTAGTTGACTAACTAACTCACCCTGAGCCAGGCACTAAACCTCCCCTTGCCCCCAAGCAAATCTTTAAAAATCGATAACATTTCTACAGGTTTTAAGTTTTGCACAGTGCTTTACATTAATTTCATTTGATTCTAACATCAACCAAGAAAAGGAGGTGCAGTTATTATCCCTATTTTACAGATGAGGAAACTGGGGCTGAGAGAACTGAAGTGATTTGCCCAAGGTCACAAGTTTCATAACCCACTATGTGCCAAGCATTGTACTATGTACTAAGCATACAAAGAAAGGTAAAAACAGGGTCCTTACCCTTAAGGAGCTCACATTCTAAAGGGAGAGACACTGTGTAGGCAGCTCTGTACAAACAGGATAGATAGGCAGGTAAAGAGAGAGAGGGGGAGAAAGAGAGAGAAAGAGGGAGGGGGGATAGGTAGGTAGGTAAATAGATAGATAGATAGATAGATAGATAGATAGATAGATAGATAGATA